TTCTCATTTGAACAATATGATCACAAAATAGGAATATTATAGATTCAGCATACAATTTACTAGGCAGTGACATTAAAAGATATTTTATATTTTAGTTTAAATAATACAATAAAATATGTAAACATAAATATAAATGAAATAATACCATCTAAATTTCTGTCTTACAATTTACAAGTATTAATTACAAGTTTTATGATGTTCATTTTAGTATAATAGTTCAGTTATTTATATTAAATTGTCTTTTATTGTTTTCAGGATATGTGAGTAATGAGATTCCCCTCGTTACACGTTACATAAACCTCAGACGAGAAAATCTCATAATCACATGTGTCGGACGTGCCTTTCACACCTACAGTTCTGATAGGTTTCAGCTTTTATCTGTAAGCCCACAACATGAGACGGACATCACATGTTTGGCTGCAGATAGTTACCTGGTATATACTAGTTGTGGAAACCAAATTTATGCATGGCGACGTGGTATAGAACTAAAACACACATATACTGGTCACAAAGCAGCAATTAAATTATTGTTTCCGTTTGCGGCTAATTTAGTGTCTATTGATGAATCAGGAAATCTCAAAATTTGGGATGTGAAAACTGAAAGTATATACAAAGAAATTCAATTAGACTTTACTGCAACAGCTATATGCCATCCGCCAACATATACTAATAAATTACTAATTGGCTCGGCTGAAGGAAAACTACAGCTATGGAACATAAAAACAGGATCCATGATATATGAATTTGGGGGCTGGAATAGTAGTGTGACCAGCTTAGAGCCAGCTCCAGCTGAAGATATGATGGCAATAGGATTGAGTAATGGAAAAATTATTTTACACAATTTAAAGTTCGATGTATCCAACATAACTTTTACACAAGATTGGGGCTCGGTCACACGTATCAGTTTTATTATTAAACGACAACTTATGGTAACTGGTAGCCCCAAGGGCACTGTAGTGGTTTGGAATCTCGAAGAAGGAAAAGTTGACAGTTTAATAATTAAAGCTCATCATGGACCTATTTGTGGCCTCCAATGTTTACCAGATGAACCACTCCTCGTGACTTCGTCTTCAGACAATTCTTTAAAAATGTGGCGTTTTGACATGTCTGATGGTTCTGCCAGTCTGTTTAAAATCCGCGAAGGTCATTTCAAACCTCCTGTTTCTATTCGTTTTCATGGAATAGATGGTGCTAGTATTTTAAGTTCTGGCAATGATTCATCATTGCGTGTCTTCAACACAATCACTGAAATAGCAAATAAAAGTTTTGGACGTGCATCATATAATCGTAAAGCTTCTAAAAAAAAAGGTAATAAATGGGCAGATCCTCTTATCATGCCTCCAATATCTACATTCACCTCGGAAACCACTCGAGATAAAGAATGGGACAGCATTGTTGCTGTACATCGAGGTATACCTACAGTAACGACTTGGTCATTTGATAAAAGCAAAATGGGAGAGCATAAATTGTGTCATGAAAGATTTAAGAAAAACGTCAGTGGACAGAAAGGAATTAGTGCCACATGTGCATGTCTTACACACTGTGGTAATTTTGCAGTCATCGGTTACAGTTCTGGTCACATTGATAAGTTCAACATTCAGTCAGGCTTACACAGAGGAACCTATGGACAGCCAACAGCTCATAAATATGTACGTGGAGTCTATGTTGACACACTTAATCAAATAATGGTATCTGGTGGTTCAGATACATTTTTACAATTCTGGAATTTCAAAAAATTAAGTTAGTTAGATTTATTAAAAAAAATATTGTTTGCCTATAACTTGATTAATAATATATTAATTTTTTCAGATTTATTGTCTAAATTGGAGCTGGAAGATACAGTTTCATTATTCAGCTGGCACACAGAAAGCTCGTTTCTAGCAGTTGCTTTAGATAATTTTGACATTTGTCTAGTTGATATTGATACACGTACCATCGTAAGGAAGTTTACTGGACATCGAGGTCCAATAACTGATTTAACATTTAGTCCAGATTCTAGATGGCTAGTTACATCAGCAATGGATTCAACTATCCGTACTTGGGACATTCCTTCATCATCAATGGTCGATATACTTAAAGTAAGCTTCTCAACATAATAATTTTTGGATCGTAAATATTACATTTTTGTTATAATATTTTAGGTTGATACACCTTGCGTTTCATTGACATTTTCTCCAACTGGTAGCTATTTGGCTACTGCACATGCTGACCGTTTGGGAATATATTTATGGTTTAATAAAACTCTATACAATCATGTTAGCCTCCGACCTATCACTGAAGAAGATCAGATCACAGAACCTCTTCCATTGACTGGAATCAATCAAGAAACTCTAGAATGCCCTATTAATGAAGATACAGATGAATACATATCTAAAGTACAAATTGAAAATACTATAACTATGAGTGGCCTAAATGATGCTAGATGGCAGAATATATTGAATTTAGACGCTGTTAAAAAAAGAAACAAACCACTACAACCACCAAAAGCTCCAGCTGCTGCTCCATTTTTCCTACCTACTATACAATCTATAGACTTTCAGTTTGATTTAAAAGGAGTAGGTAAAACAGATTCCAATACCAAAGTTGTTCCTGAAACACTTATGCAAACTGTTTTTGCTCAACAACTTTTAAAAGCCACTTCGTTAAATGATTATCAAGTTTTATTTGATCAATTAAAATTAATGGGACCGTCAGCTTTAAACTATGAAGTAAGAAGCTTGTCGCCAGAAGCTGGTGGAACATATGAACTAATGGTAAAATTTTTAGAGCTTTTAAAACAAGTAACTGCGAATAATAAAGATTTTGAATTATCACAATCTTATTTGGGTGTATTTTTAAAATATAATGGACGTGCATTGGCTCAAAAACCGGAAGCGATCAATAGTATTGAACCATTATCAAAACATAATGCATGGGAACAGTTGCAAAATAATTTTTTGTTATGTCTTAGTATTGTAGAATATATGAAAAATAATTAATAAGCATTTATTTGAATTCTTATATACTTGTATAATGTTTATGTTTAATACAGTTGTAAGGAAATACATTGTTAAAATAAAACTTAACATTTACCTGAACATCAACATGACAACAATATAATTGATTTATTGATTTTCTTTGCATTAAAAAAAAATATCTATCAAGTACAATATTAAAATTATATCCAACTTGATAAGTATTTATAAAAATATTTTATTAATATTTTCATATTATGTACGATGTTTTAGATTTGTAAAATTGTATAAGATAATGAGTTAAACATAAAACTACTTATGACGTCATAATTGAAATGCTCTCTACAAAAAAGTTTTAATATATGTTTGGGAAACACTTGGACTTAGTTCTATAAAATGAATATAATATAAATTTGTTGTTGTCCACTTATAAAAAATGGGGGTACAAGTGTACAATATTTATTACAATAAGTTACAATTAACATGCATTTTTATAGCTTACTGGCATAATGTTTATAATTACATATCTTTAAGTTATGTCTAAAACTATTATGAAACAATTGTAGATTACATTAAACTCTGTTCCAAGTAAGTTGGAATAAAATCGTAACGAAAACGCACCGTTTTAGCACATGTGTCATATCGTTGGTTGCTGACTACTGGTCAAATTTTACGAGATTGAATTGAAAGTGAAAAATATTAATACCTGACTAATAAGAAAAGGTATTTAAATGCAGACACATTGAGAAAGTATTTAAAATTCTTTGTTCCATTATTTTTTTATAAAAGTAACTAATTTAAAATAAGTAGGTATTTGAGTATAGGTACTTCAGAATACTGCCTATGCTTGTTTGTTAGCAATGTGACTCCGTCTCCATCTGCTTAGATATAAAATAAATGTTTAATTAAATTGAGTGTAAATAATAGTTTGTATTTTTGCTAGTCATGTGGATTTTTTTGGTAAATCTACCCGTACAATTTGTAAAGAAAAATATTTTGGTGTAATTTTTATTCAATTTTCAAATAAAGCTTATAATATGTTCCCAAATTCTAAAGTGTGTAGATGTAGAACAATTTTTTTTTTCATTTTTTCTATCTATCTACCTATCTAGTCTATTCCAATGTACGACTAAAATAGCTCTTGAAAACAAAAACCTATTACTTGTTAAATATTTCATTCAGAACAGAAAACAATATATAATATACCTTGAAACTTGTATTAATATTAAACAATATAACTATTAACTTCAATATAAATATATAATTTTATGTTTTCAATAAAGCAACATTTATTAAGATAAATAGTTTATAATAAACAACAGAATTATGAATAACTTACAAAATACTAATTGCAATGAAGTATCAATAATAGTAAATTATTTATGCTTAGGAATCAGGAACATAAGTTAGCTGAGTAATAATTTATAAAATAAACAGTAAAGCTTGTATAAAAGTTATATTTTTATAATATAACAAAATATCATCAAAAATTCGTTATTTTTGAATTAATGCAGTGTCTGCACTGATAGTCGTATAAGCTATCCTGGCTATCTAAATAAAAGATTTCACTAGTAAAAACATCAAGAATGAGGGGTCACCTGATATTATCAACTGTAAAAAATGTACGCTTATCCGTAAAGTGTACCAAGCTCGCATCTAATTTTGCTTAATACAAAACTTGTTGAGGGTAGTATGAAAACCACACTACACTACTGTTTTTTTTTTGGTGGAGATTATTGGATTTTTAAATATATATTTTAACATTTTCGATTTAATTTAGTTTTTTCTACTGTATAAATAATATATCAATATTTTTACTTGGTAAAAAGTTGGAAAATGTTATACAAAATTTCTCATTTCATAACATAATACAATTTAAAAAATATTAAAATATTTTTACATAATATTGCATTATTTTATATTATAATTTTTCATACGTAGGTACACGTTAAAATGTATCAAAATATTTTTGTCGCCTTTAACATAACATTTTAAATTTTCCTTTCTTTTTAGTTAACTTCAATAGATTTTTGCAAAACTTTTTGCGCTACAATAGGTTCCTCATAAGTTATTAATATAGTAAAATACAAAGCACACCACGAAACCCTATAGTGAAAATGTTTAGCGATTAACGGAGCTTCTATCACTCTTATTACCTAATACGGATCTGACCCAGATATCAGCAGCTGTCAGAAAGTGGTAGCGCTTATCAGTTATCACCATATTATCATCTTGCCGCCAATCCTTTCCAAAATTATCGCTTTCGATCCACACTTGATTAGAGAATATAACATCTAAATATTGTAATAATTATAATATAATAGTGTTATTGTAATGCCATAATTAATTATAATTTTATTATTTGTCCTTCCGATTCATGTCGTTTACTTAAAAATCGTCCGACCGCTGTTCGATAACATGTTATAAATATTATATTAAATTTTATAATATAATATAATAAAATGTTGAACATTATTGTTTAAAAGTCGTCATTTGATCTCTGTACGGATAGAAAACGAGTTACATAGTAACTTCCAAACCATTGTAAACGACTCACAATTCTATCGTCATCGCTTGTGTTTTGTTGATTAAGTGAAATTTGTTTGATTCAATCATGAATGACAGTGGTGCCCAACGAGTGGTAGCGTTAGTGGACATGGATTGTTTCTACTGTCAAGTAGAGGTTCAACACGACCAGTCGTTGGCTGGAAAGCCGGTTGCAGTCGTTCAATACAACAGTTGGAGAGGTGGAGGGTGAGTTGTCGTGCTTAACAATATTTTGTGTTTGACATGCATTGAATCATTATGTTATCCTGTTTCAGGATAATTGCAGTGAATTATGAGGCAAGGGCAAAGGGTGTAAACCGACATATGAGGGGAGATGACGCTGTACTTACGTGTCCAGATTTAAATTTAGTACGTGTGAAGGAGCTGCACGGAAAAGCAGATTTATCGAAGTAAGATATTTTCACTTGATAGGTATCATGACTATATCTACAGCTGGGAATGTACTAAAGTTTGGAATTTTTTATAGCTGTGATTGTTAAAATTTACCAGAAATTTCGTTGAATGTTAACATTTCATTTAATTTCAATTAGGTAGGTACCTACATCATTTTAAATGCAATCATTATTTCAGTTAAGACCATATAGTATTTATAGCAAAGTGGCCACATGGGTACTATACATGGTAGTTGTCATGATAATTTTTAAAATTAGGTGCTCAATGTAAGCCTTATACAAATTGTTTTTATTATTTAGACATAAAAAAACCACAAAAAACAATGATTATTTCATACACATTTATCAAGGTTTGGTATATAATATTTTAATTTTAATATACTAAACTTTTTTTCATGTTTTAAATTTAAACTGGTACCTTACTATAACTACAATTAAAATAGGTATCTATATTGTGTAGATGTGAAATACACTGATTATTTGAAAAGTTGTAACTTTTTTGAAAATATTTTTCTATAACTTGTTACTGTTTTGTAAATTTTTGAGAAAAATATTTTATCTTATAATTTCTTTTTTTAAATTCTAATATAACTTATAAGTATGGAGCTGGAAGTTGTAACATTTGAATTTTTAAATTTTTCTTTCAATGTTATAGTAATTTTACTTTTTAAATCCAACTTGTTCTTTATAGATACCGTACAGCCAGTCAAAAAGTATTTGAGGTTCTCAGTGACTTTAGTTCTTGTGTGCAAAGAGCTAGTATTGATGAAGCTTATGTTGATTTAACGAGTGTGATAAACCTTCACATTTCAACTAATCATAATGTAATAACTGAAAATGACCTGCCCAATACATTTGTTGAAGGTTATTCAGATGATAACTCAAAAGGTAATTAATTCAAAATATGAATGTATCTTAAAAATGACCTAAATGATTGCTTTATGAATATTTCTGTGTACAAATTTTAGATTCTGAGTGGAGCAATGAATGTAATGATTTTACGATGATGTGTGCTTTTATATATATATTTTTTTTTGTGTCTGTCCTCGCGGTTTTTTGCAGTAAAAGTGCTTCAATTTTCTACAACAGCAACTTTTTTGGTATGAAAGTTGGTGCAATCGGGAGATCAAAATTTATAATTCCCAATAGTTTTCAAAAGCAACAAGAAGAACAAACAAAAATTTAAGGAAAAATGAGAATTTTTACGCAAAACCAGTTTTCAAAATAATGATTTTAGTTTTTAGTGTAACCCTAACAAAAATGAATATAGATACATTAAATTTTCACTGAATAATTTTGTTAGTAATTTCTATACACTACAAAATTTTCAAAATATTTTGATTTGTGTTGAACTATTTATAGTATGCAATTTTTGATTATTATTTGTTTTTTAACCTAATGTCGATAAAAAACTTTTTGCTCGGTCAAAAAACTTGTAAATGTAATATAAGGTTCCTCGTAAGTTGGTGTTGGCGCAAAATTTAAAAAAAAAGTTGAGCTTAAACCCATAATTATTTTTTATGACCGTTTAAACTTAAAATTTCGACGGAATTCGTAAAATTCATGAAAATTAGCAATTTATATTAAGTTGGAAATTCATAAAAAATTTTCTTTTTATATCAAAGATATAAAAATTTGATACAAGATTCCTTATAAGTCTGTCTACTTTTATAAAAAAAAATAATTCCTACTGGAAGTCAAATTCAATTTTCATGAGCTTTTGATGTTGATGTTTTTACTCGATTTCTCTTGTAGCGATTTTCTTATTTTGTTGTAATTCAAATACGAATTGCTGTGGACACTTGAAATTTTCACCATATATTTATTTAATCAATACATATTCTTGATACAATTTTCAAAATATTTTGATTCGTTTTAAGCTATTGGTGGACATTTTCAATTTTCATTTTTTGTTATAAATGTCAATACAATTTTACTGGTTAGGTCAAAAAGCATGACAATTTAATATAAGACTGTTGATGTATATTTTTACAATAGCAGTTGAAAAATATTAAAATACATTAGCACAATTTTTTTTTTATAAGTGCTTAAAGTTCAAATTTTGACAATATTTATCAAATTGAAAATGATTTTCTAGTTAAAATTTTTTTAAATTTTCAATTTTTATAAGCCAAGGTTTGAAAATTTAAAACAAGGTTCCACTTACCCAGGTTTCTCCGTAACTAAAAAATATATCAATACAGTTTTTTTACAGGCATTTTAAGTTCAAATTTGGACAAGAGCATATTAACACAAAGAATAATGTTTAACATTTTGTTCTAATTCGGTTCCAAAACAGCCCAATTTTACATAGGTATATTTAATATTTTTCCAGCATCACTAACATTTAAGAATAATATTAATTCAACTTACCAGCTACCATATTAATAATAAGTAATAACAATATAAAATATCTTAAACTGACATACCGTCTCCGCTCAGAATTATTTTTCGTAAACAATGATAATATGATATTATCAAATTAAAATTTAATACCATTCATTCATTCAGACACCAAATGTACAGCAGAACGACATCCACTTATCCACTTTTTTGTTCCTTGTAGTTTTTCTACCATAAAGATTCTTAATTAATCCTATAAGTAGAAATATCTTTTAAATTAAAAATAACTTGATAATTATTTGTACGTTGTAAAAAACAATTAATGGTAGTTTAATTATGATGATAAAATATGTAAATTTTACTTATTTGTTTTTTTTATTAAGAAGATAAAAGTGTGAATTTAAAATCTTGGCTCCACGATGTATACAATAATGAGTTACAAGATGACCATTTACTTCGCTTGACAATTGGTGCTATGATGGTTGAAAAATTAAGAAAATCAATTTTTGAACAAACTGGTTTTCGTTGTTCAGCTGGAATTGCAAATAACAAGGTTTGTTAATTTAAAAATTGTATATAGTAAATACAACATAAAAAAATATAATGTTTTAGAAATAGTTATAATGTCGTATTTTCCAATATTAAAAATATTCTACAATATATGAACTGATTCTGTGGCATAAATTGGGCTAAATACTTGGGGTTACAATCAGTAAGAAGTATAGATTAACACATTCCACCTAAGGATGGTTTTTTTATATAATAAATTTAATAACTTAAGGCTGGGCATAATTGTGTTAAAAAAGTGGGCAAGTGATACTGCTCTGCTGTACCCAAGGTCTTGATTAAGTCATTGTTATGCATGGTGTTAAATTTGAATGCAATGATGTTGTATCTAACTTATTAGGAACCTTAATATTAAAATCAAGTTTGACCAGGCAAACATTTTTTTATCGACAATATTTACAAAAAAAACTAATAAAAATTGAAAAATGTTTATACCCATTCAAAAATTGCATAAAAAGAGTCAAATTATTATATTGCATAGAAAATACTAGTACAACATTTATTAAAAAAAATATGGATCTATTGTAATTTTTTTTTTGTGCTGCATCGTAAAAACAAAATCGATTTTTCCAAAGACTAGTTTTGCCTTAGAATTCCTGTTTTTCTTTAATTGTTTCTTTTGTTTTTTCTAATGTTTTTGAAAACTTCTTGAAATTGAACCGAAGTTTAAAATTAAAGGATTATTGGACTACTTATCTCGACCATAGACATTAATCAAAATGTTTGAAAACTGTAGGTACACATGATTTTTTGGAGTAGCAAGAGTATTTTTTTTTTCAGGGTCGCATATGAGTTTACGCCACTAAACTTATTAACTTTCACAGTTTTATTGTTTTATAATCGTATTTTACATTAAATATATACTTTTATGACGCTACGGTAAATGATGTTAAACAGAAATTAACGTTAATGACCAAATATATGGGTAATTTATTATTGTTCTAGACCAGTTATGCACGTGAATCTCACATTTTATAATTTATAAATGATGAAAGTACATCTTCTTAACATTAAAAATTGAAACAATGCATTTTTATTATTTATATATTTCTACTAGTTGTACTGCTGTGACGTTTACTGTTACACAGCTTTTCAGCCACAACACTTATTGTTGCTACCAGTCTTGCAATGGCAGCCTTGGTACCCTCGAGGGCCCGCAACCGAACGGTTCTAACTGCTTCCCTCAGTGTCAACTGTCTAACATCTGCTAATTTGATCACATTGTCCATGTCTAACAGTTATACGATTAGTTTTTATATTTTTGTTTTATTTGTTTCATGTTAAGAATTCGGATATTAATTAATAAATAATTAAAAACATATACCAAGTTTCAAATTTTGTTAGAATGTGTTTCGTGAAGAAAATCAAACAATTGTCAATTGTTGGTCCTTATCATCGCTTGTTAGAAATCTATTTTATAACCAACATTTCCCATTTCATAAAGTTATTAATGCTATTCACATTGATTCATGATTTCCGCATTAGTAGGTAAATAACATTAATAACAGGCGAATAATGTTATTTTCTGATAAAACATCATTTTACCATATCATATATACATATTACATGTATAGTTTAGAAGTGTTAAGACATTTTATTTGTTTATAAATTCTGATACATTTTTTTTCCAGATTTTATCTAAGCTTGCGTGTGGCTTACACAAACCTAATCAACAAACACTGTTACCACCGTCTAGTGTACCTAATTTGTTTAAAACTATACCAATAAAAAAAATAAAAAATTTAGGAGGTAAACTGGGAGAAAGAATAAGGCAAGAATTTAACTGCGAATTCATGTCTGATTTAGCTGCAATACCCCTTAATGATTTACAACAAAAATTTAATGACAGAACATGGTAATGATTCATTTTATTATATTTCTATTGAACAATTTTTATGAGTTTTTTTTTTCAGTAACTTTTTGTATCAAATCTCCAAAGGTATAGATAATGAGCCTGTGGAATCTAGACTTATACCCAAATCAATTGGCAGCTGTAAGTCATTCCCTACAGGGCTAAAAGTCAAAGAAGAAATAAAACAGTGGTTGAACACATTGATGAATGATATTGTAGATAAACTTAAAGATGATTATGAAGCTGTGAGTATTATTTATTTATTTCATCCAATTTTATTTTGAAAATTAATATTGTTTGTTTTTTAGAATAAAAGAAGAGCAACATTGATGACCGTCAGTGTTAGATACTTAGATAAAAAAACAAAATTGCCGACATCACAGTGTTCTGAAGTTACTACATATAATCATAACAAACTATTGGATGCTGCATATTCATCATTATGTACCATGACTGAAAATCAAAAGTCTTTACATTGGTATTTTTTTATATTATACATTAAATAATTACCTAACATTGTAACCTTCCTCCCTCTCCTTCTAGCTATAATGCCATTGAACACATAATGAAAAAAATACTATGATAATAATATTTTGAATAATCATGTAATGAATATTAGTGAAAGAACACAAAATTGTGCCGACAAAAATAGTCTGGAATTATCCTTCCTGCCAGACTGTGTTTCGAACAGTAGTGATGTCATTTTTTATATTTACAGCACAGGAAATATATTGGTTTTTATTATTATAATCTAAATAGTAGAGCTTATAATAAACCATTAAAAAAATTTTTTTAAGATCAAATTGTTCTTGATTGAATAGATGTATTTCTAAAAATGTTCAACTTCTAGCCTCTAGAATAAGAGATATATATTTTTAATGTAATAATTCTGAGATTATGATGGGTGTCAATACTTAGAGAAAGTGAAGAAAGATTGTGGGAGCGTCAATAGATCTAAATGGTCTTGAATAAACCAAAACATTTTGGTTAGAGGCGAGAAATTTGACCGACTTATATGAAATTGAAAAAAAAAATGCTCTTTAACAATTACATTATAATTACAATTACTTTTTTTTCTCAATACAAATAGCCTTCTTCTAATGAATAAAATTGAAACTTTAAACAATACCTAATCCAAACAAATGGATATAATATCTACAGCCATAGACTATAATTCTTCTATTATCTTATATACATAAATTAGAAATACATAATATACAAATACCCCATAATTGTTTACACATAGCACGTGCCACAAATCATGGTTACATTTTATTTAGCAATGACATGAATCATGTTTGCAGTTTGAAGGTTTGTGGCTCAAAACTAGGCTGACACCAGTCTATACCTGGTCTTCTAACGACATGGAGGGGGCAAATGCCTAACCAGCTTATTTATTATAGGTACTTGTGGCCGATGTGTCGTGATATCTCTCATGCATGGATATTATATTATTATTAATTGGAAAATGTTTATTTCTTATTCTAAAAGTCAAGGAATATTTTGGTCTATCCATAGATCTAATAGATGCTAAATATATCACAAAGATATTTTAAATTAATAGGGATTAATATACGATGTTCTTTAACACACTTGATATGCTGATAAACTAATATTCATTTTTTATATAATAAGATCTCCTTACAAAAATATTCTAATTCTTATATTTATTGTTCACAGGAAAAATCCGATATCTTTTTTAGGTGTAGCTATTGGAAAATTTGTAGAAATTAATGCCAAATCATCAATAGACAATTATTTCAATAAGGGAACTGCCAAAGAAGTGAAAGATATAAATATTCAATTGATTACACAAGAAAACAGTGCGACTTGCTCTAATATCAATAGTGATAGTTCTACACTAATTAATGTAGAACAATTTAATTCTAAAACAAGTGCACCACTTTCAAATCAACCTTTGCTATCATTAAATCACCCTAATGAAAAAAAGAACAAAACATGTACTAGTGATGCAAAGAATTTAAAAACTATGTTTGCTCAAATAAAAAATTCTGCTAGTTCCTTAACTTCTTCAACATTACAAAATTTGAATTCTAAAAAAGAAATTAAAAATCACTATAAGCTTGACATGAACAGTTTTTTTACCAAAAAACTGGAAATTATCTCTCCAGTTAAAAATCAAGTAAATGTGAAATTGACAACAGCCGATCAATCTTCCTCAGCAAGTTCAGTAGGAATTTTAATGGAAAGCTCTGATGTAATTTCTCCTTCTAAAAGTATGAATGATAACCATAACAGAATAACTGAACCAGAAGATAGTTTTTTCACAAGAAAACTGGAAATTGTATCGCCTTCGAAACACCAAGAAACTGATGATGCAAGAATAGAGTCAGTACCAGTCGTTCAATCTTTCATTGTTGAAGATACTATTGCATGTGCTCCTATAACATTATTATGCGAAAGGTGTGATAAAATGATTGATATTGATACATACGATGAGCACATAGATCATCACGTAGCATTGGAATTGAGTGAAAGTTTGAATGTTATTAACCCTGTACAGCCATTAAATAATAGAATACTCAAAAGTAAACCAACAAAAAAGAAAAAAAATGAAGGTGGTCTAAAACGTAAACAAAATTCAAAAGCTTCAAGTTCAAATCCCAAAAAACCATGCACAAGTATTTCATCATACTTCAAACCACTTTTAAACCCTTAATTATATCTTGTAACCTATTATAATTTAATGCATTTTATTTTAAAACAAAAATGATTGATATTTTTTTATTTTCGTACTTATTTTGTAACACATAGTTTAGTGAAAAAACAAATGTACTTCTATGTATTTTATTCAAAGAATATTTTTATGTAAAAATGATTAAATTAACAATCATATAGAATATATTGTAATTTTACTTTAATTTTTTATTTAAAAAAACAATTTAAAATCTATATATTTAAGAAAAATCTAGAATGTTCAGTGAGGTGTGGCTTAAAATTGAACATTAAAAATAATTATTATTGTTATTTCCTTTATATAGGGGTTTCAAAACAAAAATATTTATCAATTATAAATTAATTTTTTTTAATGACTGGAATTTTAATAATACTCATTACTTATGCCCAATTATAGTTTAAAATTATTTCAACATGAAATTTTGATTGTGGACAATTGTTAATAAAAGGTAGAAGGTAAATAATATTATTATGTCTACTTTCTTAGCTTTATTTAAACCAGGGCTTGCAGACGTTATATTTGACGTAATATTTGACAAAAAATGATTGAAATTCGTGAACATAATTATAATGGAAAACTATTAACAAAAATAATTAAGCACCACAAAACAAAACAACAATTAACAAATTATATAATAATTATTTAACAAAACATACCGAAAAACGTAAATATTATAGAATATTAAACGAAAAATAATACATAACAAAATAATTTAAGTTTTTAATTATAATATTGGGTTCATAGAAATATTTATTTGATACAGTTTATTTTCATCTTAGCAAACAATCTAAGAATTTGTAATAAATTCTGTATCCGGGCCATTATCCGCATAAGTTATTTAAAACCTATTATTTTTTAATTTAAAAGGTATTAAGGGTAATTTTATTGTGACTAGCAAGCAAATACATAGTAATATTAATGATTAATAATAGCCTGGTAATTGAGCTGTAGAAGTTTAGACTTATGTGCTTCAAGACTTTAAGTTTGTTCAGAATAATAAATTGTACAATGTCGCCATGTTGGTACTCGGGCGGAACATACATGGTAACATAAGACCTTGTAGGTAGTGCCCGGGCCCGCTACGCAAGACCTGCATACATGTACTTTGCACTTTTGAAAATGTAACTAATAGTGCATATTTTTTTTTCATTCTATAATAATATGGTATTATTTATTGCTTCTTCAAAAAGTTTTTTTAAAACTTGGATCATTAAATAAATCAGTTGAATGATTTTTGGGGATTAGGTATTACAATTATAAGGTGTTCCAAATTAAATGCAAATTATAATAAAACATAAGAATTAATATATTGAGACAGAATACAGAGTTGACATTACACTACGTATATTATATGGTTGATTTTCAATAAAATATGCCAAACACATATTTATCTGCTTTTTGTTAATAAAAATCCATTAATTTAAAACAAGTATAGGTAAAAATTAAATATTAAAAACAAAGTATTTATATTAATAAATAATAATAAATCATATATATATATATATATATATTTGTTACTGTAAATATGTACTGCTGGTGTCAGCTAAAATTCTCAGATAAACGATTTACATTAAAATTATCAGTGACATAAAAAAAATTCTATTAGTCTACTGAATATAACGTGAGAATGATGGTTGATATTCAATGACACAATAGCTTAAACTTAACATTGCTGTAATAAATAATACCAATATGATAACAATAATAAAAAAAATTAATAATATAAAAACTTGTATTAATAAAAATAATAGCGATAATAATTAAAAATTGAATGTTATGAATACCCACTAAGAAACTGACCATGACAAACATTCACAGTGAATGTTGTGATTATGAATTTCCCAAAACTCGCCAATGTCTAGTGATGTGAAAATAATTAACAAATTGCCAATGACCGTCAGTAAACATTTACAGTAACACACACTTACATAAAATTCAAATAATAATTAATCATAAATATTAAGACACAATTTAATAGTATGTGTAACATTTAACTATAAATCAAGAAAAAACATATTATACACAGAACAAGTATGTAATAGATAGACATAGATAATATTATTTATTAATAATAGACTATAAATACAATAATAATAATAATAAACAGTAATAGTGCGAGTGTGTATGGTTGTACACCAGGGCTGTCACCGTGAAGGCCGTCATATTATGAGATGATAAGTGAATTAAGTACTGCCTTCAAGGGCGACACAGGAGGGCGGCGAGATATAATTATCACAAAATGTAATACATATTTTACAGCTCACTCTGAGTACTTTATTAATTAAATAATTATCCAGAGAATGTGGAATATGCTTGTATATGTATTACATAACACGCAAATGCTAAATTTTTAAACTAATATTGCAAAAATATCTAAGTAAAAATGAATGTATAGTGAACTTGATAGACATAACAAAAAAAAAATGTATAATTGGGAAACCTAAATTAGTTAACAGCAATATGTATATATTACGCATCTGCATCCTAAACTAAATTGTCTACAGGAGTCTGCCAGGAGTTCATTGCTCTAAGACTCTATAAACATGTTACGAAAATAATGAGACACAACATTTTTTAAAGCGAACACACATATATTCAAATTTTTAAGTTATATGTTTGATTAAGGGCTCACCATGATCTTATAAAGCTCTTAGAATAAATTACTAATAGCTACTCATTAGTAAATTTAGGATTCCCAAAAATATCAATTTTTTTTCTTTGTCTAAATCTGCCACTTTTAATAACACACAACAGTAAAAGGTAAACACTAACCATATTCAGCTATAAACTACAATAATTTAAAATAAAACAAATCAATTATGTGCGATCACTTTTTAAATAATTATAAATACTTAAGTCAAGTAACAATATTTAATTTAAGCTTTAGGTAATAGCAAAATTGGCAATACGTATTTTTTTCTTAATATCTATCATCTATCTATGTAAACAAATATGACAAATAAGACAAATATAGTTGACTAATAAAATGTACATGTACATCGTTAGATGATTTCATAACAAAATATTCAGTTATTCTGGAATCAACATATCTTATAATAATTTAAATTCAACTACTGTGTAAGCTAAAAAGTTTTTATGAACATGTTATACACTAAGATTAATATTTTAACAGTATTGTAAAAACATAAAGAAGAAAACAATTACTATCTAATAATAATTGAAGAGCACATTTATAAAGAACAAATCTTCTAATCAAAATTGTATATTTAATATTTATTTAATAATTAATATAATAATTAAATATTATGTTCATTAACCCAATAATTAAGAAAACAATAAACTGTGATAAACATTTTTGTTACGTTTACATGAAAAGCCCAAGTTTAAAAAGATAAATATTTTTTATTCCAGTACAAACATATATTTGGTGATCAACTAAATGGTAAAATTTGTATTTCATTAAAGCACATTTAGATAATATTAGTAATAAATATAATTTATAATCTCAAGAGTTTTGTAATATTCAATAAAAATTAAAAAATCAATAAATGTAATGTACTGTAAGTTTAAGAAAACAAAAAATATATAATTTAAAAATCAAAAACAAAAATTATAAAAAATTTACCAAAAAATAACATAATTTCAAAACTGTTAAATATAGTTATAAATGCTCTGAACAACAACTGAGATTTTTTAAAAACAATTTCAAGACTAACCTAAAAAATAACTAAAAAATAAATAAAATAAATAACTAACCTAACTATTTTTTTTTAAGGATTTGAACGTTATCATAAATGTCATCTATTGAATTCATAGAACATTATTATAATTATTTTGTTTTTTGTATAAGACCTTATTTTATAGAGCACAATGTGACTAACAACAATACAATACATTTCAGTGAACATTAAATCTTATGTTTGATTAATATGAACAAATATGAATTAATTCCTTCTCCCCTTGAAATTTATATTGATTGAAATTCTATCATAAGGTATATTTTTTTAAAGTACACAATCTACCCATAAATGTTTATATTAATTTCTAAAATGTTTTAATGATTTGTGAAATAGAAAATTGTAAATATGTACACTACGAATGTCAATTAAAAACATTCACTAACATTACATTTTTATTTTATACTGAACTGGCCTAAAATGCAATTAAAATAAGATAAACAGATTAATTATAAATTGGTTTTAGATTTATTTTAGTATGTATTTTTAATTATCACACAATATTTATGATAATTTGATCAACTATACATAACTATATATATATATATGATAACTAAGTACAATGTACATTGTACATAGTATATACATTATGTTTGGCAGTATACAAAGTGGGTAACCATGTTATCTATATCATTAAGTTAGATTTATAGGAAACTGAGAAAACACAATGGCATACCTTGTAATCAATGTATCTCATAAACATTGGTATTTGTTATTCATTGTCACATATTATATTAGTCAATAATATCTGCAGATAGTTAAATATTTTAAAATTATATTCAATTTGTGATTCAATAATACATGTATACAATATATCAAACATTCTAAGGTCACACATTTTGAACTACATTCACCAAATGAACCAAACAAAACTGAATTTAAAAATTTTAGTTAGTATATTAAGCAGTGTATAATATAATATGTAAATTAATTAACAACTTGTATATACACACACACACATATATATATATATAAAGAATAAAAAATTTATAATTGGAAATGATAACAAGTTATGGAAATAATGGTATTCAGAATAATAATAAAATAAACAACAAATTTTTTTAACTTTTAGTTAAAATGAAAGAAATATATATGTTTGTACTAAAAAATTAACTGCAGACCATTTAAAATAAGCTATAACCATCAAGATAAACCAAGTATGTTTGTTCAAAATCAATAAACCCACAGATTTTATGTCTGATAATAAATAATGAATTAAACCTAAAATGTAGTCAAAAAAATTAATTTGATTAGATAAAAAAATCTACCAATATAAATCTAAGCTCTTACGAAATTGATTTCTTTTTTAGTGGTCTTCCTCTTTTAGCCTTTTCAACTGGTGCAGTCACCCCTCGTTCGGCTCGTTTTAATAAACAAGTAGGGCAATACCATACAGCACAATCTGGTGGACACTGAATTCCCACACAAACCCTGCAATTTATTAAAAAAAGACCAATCATTTTTATTGGTTGTATGAAAGCATATGTTATACTCACCAATGATACCACGCGTCACATCCATCACAACCAACCATGGGACTGCCGTCATCTTGTTTTCCACAAGTTGGACATATCCAAACTTGATTTCCAGCATCATCCTATACAAATATAAAGACAAAATATACAAAATCACACATATTATAGTAATTTCTATTTATTAAGTCTATATTTTTACAACACAGTTTTTATTAATATACAAGGGGTAATTTATAATATTAGAATGAATGCAAACAATAAAAGAAATACAAATGTTATTAACAAATATTATATTTTGCATAGTAAAAGTCATTGTTATAAAGTTTCAATATATTGCTATATTTGTATAGGTACTTACAAAATAAAAAGCTGGATGTGGTTGAGTTGTTATTTTTTTAGATTTCTTGGTGGTTTTAACCTTATGTTTATTACTTGATGCAACAGCATTTGTAACGGCAGAAGATGCAGAAGCATTTCCAGAAGTTGTGGCGGGGATATCAGTAACCATAACCGTACTAGGAGGAACTACAGTTGGTTTTTTTGATTTAGATGGTTTAGGTATAGGTTCAGTAACACTTTCAATTTCTTCTTCTTTTAGTACTAATTGCACAGGTGGTAAGGTAGCTGAAGATAATTTTTCTTTGGTGTGTGCTTTAGATTTTGCAGTAGATGATTTAACTCGTTCCACTGGTGACTTTTCTTTAGATAAATTGTGTGATTCATCAGTGCATACCGAGGGAGATTTATTTTTAACTATAGGCTTGATTACACTAAAACAAAAAATGTATAAATGTATATTTAAATTTAACTTAAAATTAAAGGTATCTATTATTTAATAATTCTAACATTTTTCGCTGTACTGATGGAGATGAATTTGATCCATTTGAACCTGGTAACTTAAGCTTTATTTTTGGAACCAATGGGTCTTCTTCTTTTATAACAGGCTCTGGTTCTTTTTCCTAAAAACAATTTATTAATTCAAAATATGGTATAAATCTGTACGATTAAAAAAATAACTTATCAATATTGAATCAAAAAAAATAAAAAAAATAGTAAATAGTTTTGAAAATGCTAAATATGTAACCTCAGTGATAGTAGGCTCTAGTTTAGATTCTTCAGAGTCCACTTTTTCTTTGTTCTTTAATTTTTTCAATAATTTTTCTTTCTTTCTTTCGCTTCTTTCTTTTTGTTTAGTTTTGTCTTTTTTATCTTTTTTCTTTTTAGACTTTATCTTTTCTTTTTTAATCTTTTTATGCTCTTTTTTGGGCTGAAATGATTAAAAAGTAAAAATTTAAAAATTTAAAATTAATCAACGAATATAATATACTGTACTTTAATTTTTTCCATAGGAACTTTTTTTTTTTCTGAAGTAAGTGTAGATGAAAGTTCGTCAAACTCAGATTTATCAAAATCATCCTCTCCTGGTAAAGGCAAATATATCATGGAAGCAGCTGTACTGGTTTTTTCTAGTATAGGCATAACACTATTAGGAGCAGGATATTTTGGAACCAATGGATTTGAAGCAAGAGATGGTGGTAAAATACTTGGAACAGTTGGCAGGAGACCAGGTACTGTTGGTAGATGACCAAAAAATGAAAATTTCAAAGGGGATGAAAACAGGTCGGAATCATGTTTATTTTTTGACTTTTTATTTCCAGTGTTCTTGGTTTTGAGGTTTGAGGTTTTAGAATTATCATCACTAGGTAATTTCTGTTTTTTTTTTCGTTTTTTAGAAACATTAGAGTTCAACTCTGGCTTGGTTTCTTTCATAGACGGTTTATGTACAGTATCAATTTTTTTTGTTTCAACAGTTGGCTTAAAGAAATCTGGCTTAAATTGCTTCTCTTCAATAATTTCAACCTTTACTTCAGGCTTAACCAAAATATCTGAGCTGACAATAGTAGAATTTGGCCTAGATATAATTGTGCTATTTAATTTAGAACTCTGGTGTACTGAACTATCGTTATTTTTATCTTCTTTTACTTTGGATATTTTTTTAAATATATTTAATTTCTGCTTATCAGGCTCTGTTGTCAGTTTTTCACTATCACACAGTAGGCTTTTTGAGTACTTAGAATGTGATGTTGATGATGCTTGAATAGGCTTATCAAATATAGTATTTAATACACTTAATTTTGATTTATCTTTGATCTTAGGAGTTTTTTTAAGTCTAGGTCCTTGATTAGACTCCCGGATGGCTCCAGTTTTCAATGCTTTAAGTTTTGATGTTTCTTTTACATTTGCCAATTTTTTTACTTTGGAATCTTCATTTTTATTATTAGTAATATTATTGCTACTATTACCATCAACAATATTTTTTCCCTTTTCTTTAAAATTGTTCAATGTTTTGTGTGACAATTTCTTGTTACGCTGTTGTACGTGTTCACCTTTGACTTCTGGTGGGACTGTAGGATAAGAAGATGATGCATGTGATGAATTGACTTTGAAATTAGGAAATGGCATTAATCGAGATTCTGGCAATTTGCCTTCTCGTGAAGGTGAAAGGAATCCAGATGTTGTCATAACCACACTAGATATCTCCCTAAGTCGTCTGTGAACTACCAGGTTATCTTTCAATGGTCTGAAAAATAAAAACATATTTTAATTAAATACTAATAAGGTGAAAACTATTTTTTATTATTGTATGGGAAAAATGTCTTTTATTTAATGTTTACCTATCATACTTGGAGACCTGAGATTCTTGAAAACCTAGAGGCTCATTAAAAATTCCTAATGAAGAACTTGAGTGTGGTGTCTGACTTCTATCATTTTGCGTAGGCCTTTCATCTGTGATAAACAATTATAAACAATAAATATAAACCATTATGAGTAAAATACATAGTAATGCACGGAGTAAGAGTAAAAACTCAAGAAATTTTCCCGTTAATGAACAATACAGAATTATTCTATGAACATGACCAGGGTATTCATTAACTCTTCAAAATAAAAACAAAAATGTTTTACCAGATTGTTCAGGGTACATAGTAGGAAGATGTTCATGAACATAAACTGGTCTGGTCACGATTTCTCTGCTTCCTGGTTTCATGATATTTAAATTTGATTTTGTTGGTATGGGGAACTTAGGCACTTGATGAGGAAACTCTATAGACCCGACTTGTTTCAAATATCTTACTAAATCTGGTACTGAAACATCTTTATCTCGAAATGCCATTTTCACATCATCAATATCTGGCTCTATGGTATCAGCTAAAAAAATTAAAGATTATAAATTTTAAGATAAAATTATATAAATATGAATGTTATTTTCTATAATATTTTAATTAATAGGCATTTATGATACTTAAAAATTGTCTAATATATATGAAAAAATTTAAAGAGAGGAAAGTGGAAAATGGTAATAGGTAGCTGCACTCCTATACGCTTTGTTCAGTTAAGAAACGTAGTCAGCAGCTATACAGAGTTGACTCGATGGGGATGACAGAAAAGACTAACTACAACCAGAAAAAATTACCTGCTGATAACTACATTTCTTAACTTGAATTGAGTGTAGGTACATGAATAACATCAAAATATGTACTTCGTCATTGAAAAGTTAAGCACACTAATGTGTGTGTTAGATTTGAATTCAATGATAAATCTTCAGATACAAAAATGATTCTCAGCGAAGATTGTTAGCTTAAATTACTAAGTATATTTTATGATATATTTTTACGGCTATTGAAGTAATTTATTTAACTATAAGTGCTACTGCAAGGTGATTCAATTTTTGTACAATTTTTTTAAAATGACAATGTTTGTTAATATTTGATATAATAAGTTTAAGAATTATTTCATTTTTCAAATATATTGATATGCATAACACAATATACTAAATCCTATATTCAAAATAGTGGCTGCAATTAATAAAAAAATGAAGTTGTGTTGTGTATGCACAAAATACATGACTTTAAAAAGTTGTAAGTCATATAAATGTATGATATATTTGTCTAGTTGTATGTCCCGCAAACAGAATTTAAAATTATTTACATGGTAATGACTAATGAGCGATAAAGTGTACCCTGTTTGTCTGTGCGGACACACAGTTTATTACATTTATGTTAATTATTAAATAAACTGTAAATTCATGTTCTTTCTTTTTAAAAAACTGTTACCATTAGTATTTAATTATTTTAAATACAAAACAGATTGAACCAATAACAAAAAAAATAATAGGTACATAAATAGTAATGTAGGAGAAAAAAATAGAAACAAAATGTTTATAATATGTATAGATAATAAATGAGATAAGTATATAGTAAAATGGAATACTAGCACAACCTTAAGCGTGCACTGGAGTAATCAGGATAGATTTTTTGACTTATGCATGAATATTTTTTTTTCAGATAAATATTGTTAGTCTATAATTATCATATTAAAATTGTTACTTAATTTATCTAATTAATAACAGAGCTGTGCTTAAACATAGATTCTCAATTAGTTGCTAATGTTGGATTTAGAAAAAATATGTCAATTATGAATTTTACATTTTATTATATCCTTGGTATGGTAGTGTGGCTAGCTACAACAGTTTAATTGTTAAATCGTAATATATTTCAGTGATAATAACAATTACATAATATGTTGTGACCATCACATGCACAACAGATGTGGTTGTTATTATTACTGAAATATCATATAAAAAATAATATTATGATGTAGTGGTTAGTGATTAAAAAAAATCAAACTTTCGGAATATTTTTTGGAAAAGATGATTAGTATAAATCTGAATACTCAAACTATTTATGACTATTCTGCTAATGATATTAGCTAAAACTTATGCTTGTAGCACAAAATACTAAATGTCAAAGATGGTATAATAAATAGTTTATTTCATCATTATTAGTAAGGACCGGATTTTTAAGTAAATGTATATTCATTTACAATTCATATAGAATAATTTTGATTCAAAATGTTGACATTTTGTAATGTGTAGATTCCATGGTTATATTTTTCTTTGCATATCAGAGTAAAAATGACTATAAATTGTATGCTTCTATAAAATTAAACAAAAATTGCACTTTTTATAAATAGTTTATGCATTTTAAAATTTTTTTCTCTGATTCACTAAACATAATTTCAAAATATAAATCTATGCTTCATGACAATAGCAGAAATTTCACCGGTGAGTTTGCATATTCCCACCAGTCAGGGTTTTTCCAATTACTATATTAACAATAAAATAAAAGGTAAGCAAACATTTTTGTTTTCATAAAAAAAGGTTAAGTTAAACAAAAATTACACAAAGATTTCTTTATAAGCATTAAGTATTTATTTTCTTTTGTAAAAAGATGTAATTGTATACATTACATTGACAGAGTCAAGTAGTTATGGTATATACTATACATTAAAAAATAAAATATAAACTGAATAAAATGTATCATTTAATATCATTGAATTTTTCCGATCTTAATATTACTAATAATAATAATTTAGATAGGTACATTTATAACTTTTTCTTAGATAGGAGGTTTGAAAATAAGGTGACAATTTCTTCAAAATCCTTTTTATTTACTTGTTATTTCTGATTCAGTTGTCAATAATGCCAACTCGAAACATCTTTCTTGGTCCACAGTTGACCTTAAATATTTTTTTCCAACTAATTGGTGATAACAATATACATTTTTGAGGTATAATAAATGCTTTTAACAGAAGGTTATAGCAATAATTAAAATACATTATATAAATTTGTTTATTTTTTGATACAAATAATACACAGTAATAATATGTTAATATAAATTTACTGCCCTCTAAACGGACTAAACAATTTGTAGCCCCAGGCAACAGGGAACACTTGGCGTTTCTAAATATGTACCTACTTTCAGAACTAGAAACACAACAGCAATATTCTAAATGAAAGGGAAATATGACAATCAAGTTTTATAAATAAATAAAAATATATTATTTAAATATGTCATTAACCTTTACACTACTACACTATTTATGCTCTGCATAACCCGTGACATAAAATAAAATATTTTTAAATTTTTATTTGAGATATACATGATTTAATCAATAATGATTCTCAAAACAAAGTATTAAAAGTTATATGTCCCCTTGTGGGTAATTCTCGAAGGTTAAAAATAAATTTATAATTTTATAATATACAACAATAGATATTGTATCTGCTATAATAATTTAATTACAATTTTTGATATTGAGTTTTTTTTGGGCCACATAAAATAGTATGACATAATGCAGTTTGAGAATGGCTGATAGAAGTGAATAAATATAGGTAGGTATGCCTAGGAATTTTTCAAATTATTTTAACTAACATTTAGTTGGATAAATGAAATACCTATTTACTCTCAACCCTCAATATAGTTATTAATTAGGTACCAGCAGCATTATAACCATACCAAATCATTCATTAGCTGTCTCTCTTGTTTGTAGACTACAAGGTATACTACCGTAATAAATACAACAATAGTATTAAGGTTATAACAATATTGTCAAAGATACCCAAAATAAAGTAACATATAACAAATTAAGTATTAATAGGTATTCCATATTTAGTGTTGCAGCATTAATAGCTTAACCAAACAAAACTCACAAATCTCGGAGAATTTTTTGACTGACTGAGCTAGATCTCTGAAATACTCGTACAGAATATCTGTCATCATTTGCAAAGTCGAATTTGACATAGAATGCCAACCAACATTTGAACATATCTGCGCCACTGAGGTGGTCAATCCTTTCCTGATAAACTCGTCGGTCATGTTGGTGCTCTCAAATTTCGTTCAAAACTTCTGTTCACGATTACTGAATGATTTACCTCCAACCGTCGATATATTGCAGATGTCATCGATCGAGATTCAAAATCATTGCTGTATTGCAGAAGACTGTACAGAAACAAGTAAGAAGTCGTCGTCGGTAAACGGCGATGTGATAGTAATGTAAATACATACTGATAAACTGGTATGAGTCATTTTTCATCAGCAATCACTGCCATAAACAATAGTGTAAATTTTACTTTATTAAATGCCGTCGCGCGATCCATCCAGTGGCATCACTTTAGCCGGCACTCGGCAGCCGATCATCGTATACACAATGTATTAAAATCGTAAAATCACAAAATAAGTGGCGTCACGCAGAAGATCGATGATGATGTTACCCCCGTTACCCATTGCCTATGATAACAGATAAGTCGACGAATTGATTAGCTGCCCACTGCTGGTAGTACAACGATTTCCCACCAGCCGGCAGCCACTCCCACCCAACACCTGGTTCTGCACATACGTATACTCAATATTGTATTGGCCCTTAAACCCAGCTATTATCAAATAGTAAATACGATATTATAGGACACGACTGTATTCGTTATAATCTGATTAGAAGTACTATACTACTATAGCCAAGTGCCCGACTTTGAATCCTTACACTCGAGTACTCGAAAGATCCAGTATAGAAAAACAGTTTTCATTTTTAACACCATTCACCGGTTTTGTACTTGGTGGATACCGTAACTCTTAGTTGGACATGTTCACGACACACCTTTGTTGAGTGCATCAAATTACCTATAAACCTAAACATCAAAATCATTTAACAGAAATCAATATTCAATCCCGTTAACATTGACAGCCATGTCGTCAATGAAATGGTTCGAAGGAGATTCCAAAGCAGCACTTCAACAAATGACGGACCGAAATTGCGCATTTTTGATCTATATAGGTATTTATTAGTATTATTTGCTTGCATTGGTACCCGCATACAAGGTAAACTGATAAACAATTTATTCATTCTTTGCTTTTGTTTAAAGTACTTGATTTTCTATTACTTGCACTGATTAATAACTCTAAGATATTATTTCATACACTTTTACTACCCTTGTTTATTCATAATCAAGAGAAGTTATTTTAAAATGGTACCTATAGGTATTCAACTAATTTTATAAATTTACAAAAAACATGGTTGTATATTAAATACACCATTAATATTCAATACTTTGTTGGGTCTATATGATACAATGATACATGATAGCAAAAGAAGTTTATTCTAGTATTATATTTGAATCATTTATAAGTAGAAATAATGTCAAAAAAAAAATCGATTGGGTTCCTACCTAAAATATTTTAATGTATATAATTATTTGTATTTCTAGGAAATGGAAATGATGATCTTACAAAGATTTTTGATGATACAAATATTATTCAATTGCTGAATAATGAACTCATTTTATGTTACAAAATGGATCCGCTAAGCCCAAGTTTTAAAAACTTTAAAGATATTTGTATCCTTTTATTTCCATTATTATTTTAACTCAATATTTTTTAATAAGTTTGAGGTTTTGTAGATGTGTATAATTATTCAAAATACATTTTGTTATTATTTTGCACTGATAAAATATTGAAAATCAATAAATATAATTAAATGTACAATTATAAGTACCTACACATATTATCTCTGTCCCACACAACATTACATATTACATAGTTGGTCTAAATTGCAAAGGTCGTAAGTGCAAAATGTTAAATTTTTCAGGAGAGGAAAAACGTTTTGACCATTTTGTCGGCTTAATTCCCTCATTCTCAAAGGTCGTATCTCCATCATTTATTACAATAATAATATGAGGATACAACTTTTTCTAGGTCTTAAAAATTATACATTGGAGTTTCTAAACTCAACAATTTCCAACATCGATTTCATTTTACAATTTCTGTTACCATTTTATCATACGATGCTATTTTTTTTCTTCTCAATTTTAATCACAAAACATCCCAAAATTGTATTTTTGGAGTTAAGTTATTTGCGAATTAGGCCAATAACATTTAAAATAATCCATTTAAATTATCCTAAAAAATCTCTGCAGGGCTTGTTATAATATTCTTACATTTAAGTTGTATAATAGGTCAATTCACTCTAACGTTAAAAATGACAAAGTAAAATTAATTAATCTTCACAAAAATATGTTATGTTGTACCTTGTGTTATACATTAATAAGAAGGAAACAACACATGTTGGTAAAATGTCCTTTTTCAATTAAATTTCAACATTGTAAATTGTTATTATTTATGTGACTAGTTGTATTTTAATTAATTACCTATTTTCATATTAGACTCTTAATGTAAATACAAAACAACAATTTTCTTACAGCTCTACTAGTTGGTTTTTATTTAATATCTTTAACAGAATACATATAATTTACAAAGAACACACCACACACGAGTGTTGTAATTTTAAATATGTTTTGATATTAGTAATAAAGTATTTTGCCACAAAGATTTAGGTGAATTAAGAATGATTTATTCACAAACAATGAATCTTAATTTTTAATTTATTTTATACACAATAAATAATTTAATTAAGTTCTTGTTAAATTATTGTGTAAAATTGTATTAATAACAACTTGGGAAAATTAGTATGCTTTTAAACATATGTATATACATTTTAAGATGGTTTCACTTACTAAATATACTGTATTAATAATGTACATTATTTAAAGTTTCACAACTGTTACACTGTGAATAAATTCATTCTTTAACTTATATCTCCAATCAGTCAATAATGTTGTTATTCCATCAATTTACTTACTAGAAAAAAATAATACTCAACAATATATCATAAACAAAAAACAAGTTTTAACAAATGTTCATGATGTTCATCTGGATTTAAAACGTCAATTGTTGAATGCTATTTGTTCCATTATAAAGGATATTTCCGGTTTGTTTGATACTTTATGTTATATTTTGCTTTATTATTATTTTAAATTAACAGATGTAAATTTAATCATTAAATTATAGACACAATCAAAGTCGATGACAGTAAACAGAAATATTTACAATACTTGACTGATATTACTAAACAGGTAACCTAACTATAGGTAACACAAAATACTTGAGAATAATAATATATTAATATTTATTTAAACTAATAATTTTTTTATTTTTGTGATTTAAATATTTCACTGTCTCTTTGAGTTGTGAAGTTACGTGTATTCACTATACATATATTTATAATGCATTAATATCTAATAAAATATTTTATATGTCATTTTTTTATTTAAAATTAAGTTTATTTATTGGTTTGGAAACTTAAATAGTTGAAAAATTAATGAGACAAAACTTTGACTTAATCACCTGATTAGGTTGTTATATTATTGTAAGAATTATCAGTGGCGTAGTTTCAACTCCACACTTTCCCCCGAAAGTATGCCACTGATAATATTTATGAATATCAAACATTTTATATGTTTTAGTTTGTTGATTATATATCTTTAATAGCTTCAAAATCAATTCTGTATTTCAGTTGCAGCTCTTGGATAGTTCTAATATAAATGCCGGTGTCCAAAAAGTCGCAAAAGATATTAAAAAGTAATTTATTATCTTACAACATTTTAATGTCTATAATATTGTCATATTTTATTTATACTACTTTATTATCTAAACATTATTATCTATAAATAAGGAGTATATTTTGATAGAAACTAAGTGGTAATATTTATTTAAATTCTTTGGAAAATACATTCTATTTCTTTCTTTTTTTCATAATACACTAACAATAAACTTTTAAATTTGGGTTTATTTATAACAAATTTAGTCTATATAATCTGTATATCTATACAGCTTTATACCATAATGTTTAAAAAATGTCTTGAAAAGTATTTTAAAATCAAATTTAATTGCAAGAATTATCAATTCTCCATTAGAACTTGTAAAAAGTGATTTGTGTGTATTATATTTATATAAATATATTAATGTGTTTGAACTAATATAGGTATAATAGTACTGCAAAAATTAAATTCAAAGTTCCATATAAAGATATAACAATAGTCAAAGAATTTCCAACAACTTCTACACTCAGAGATATTTCAACTTATATATTAAGTAAAGTAAATCTCTCAGAAAGGTATAACGATTGTCTAGATTAGTGCAATTTTTTTGAAAAATATCATTGAACTAAAATAAACATTTATTTTCAGAGGCATAAAATTTATAGCTCATCGTCAATTTACTGGTGAAGATTTCAATCAAACTTTAGAAGCATTAAATTTATGTCCATCATCGACGATTTATGTACATCTAGACATGGTAAATATAAAAATCAAAACTATTTTATTATTTTCATGCTGGGTTGCACAAAAATTTACAGCACTGGTCCAAAATGCGAGACCTACACATACATTTTAGGTCCAGTGTGCAACCTACATAATATAGGTATTGACGTATACTGTATTTTTAAAAGTTATTATGGTTATTAATCAATTTATGATGTATCCTCTAAATTTGTCCTTCTTGTTTGGTAAGAATTCATTGTAACTTATGTATAATTTATGTCATAAAAGCATTTTTCATGTCTGATAAAAATTTGTCAAATATAGTTTGCTTATTTGGGTGAAGGAATCTCCACTACTCCTCTATAAGTTGTCTAGGTAATAATGGAGATTCACCGTTTACTCTTATTTCATATCGCTTTTTCAGTATTTTTCACAAACATTCTATGGTTTAGGTATTGACATTTTTATGAGGATCAATAAACCATTTTTGATGATTCACAGTATTATGTACATACCCTTCATGAGGTACACATATCCCACCCACTATGGATTATACTTCCTACTTCTACTTTGTTTTTAACTATAGGAAGTAATGTTGTTTTGTCACGTTTTTCTACGTCTTTCCAAAATATCGTTTTTTTTTGCAACCAAGTCAAAAAACCCACGGGCCAGATACACCTGTTGCATAATTTTTTTCACCCACTGTATGATTATTAGTATTATTATCTTCTTTTGTATCATCATTAAACTAATTGGTCGTTGGTCGCACATTGGCCCGGCAAAGGTAAGGACAGGTCAATTATCAGTAGAAGGTCGCTTATTAGACCGGTGCCAAAATTACTAAGCTTTTAAATATTAAATTTTAATGAATCTATAGACTAAATTAAATGCTCCCTTGAACATGATTTTATGCAATTTTGCATTCATAGTATTGTTTACTTATTTTTATATTATTTATCACGTTAATATAGGAACAATCAAATCACTGGCTGCATTCCTTACTCAATTATCAATCTTGGCCTGGAAATGTACTAAAATTTATCATTATCAATCCATTCACTTTTATTCAACATTTTTTAATGAGCTTTGTGAGACCATCGCCATCTGTTGAAGCTCCTAGAACGATTAATCACCATAATAATAATAAAAAACAAACTGTCAAGTAAGAACAATTAATGGTAAAAAATTATTGCATGCTATTTGCTGAAACTTATAGGTAAAATGTTTAACAGCACAAATTCAAATCTATTAAATTAATTTATTAATTTATATAAAACATTTGGTTTAACTATGCACAGCTTCACTTAGTTGCCTCAAAAAGTTTAAACAGTTAATAATTTGTATATAAATTGTATCTTAACTATGTAAGAGATGCCACTCAACAAACCCTACACTTTATCCTAAACAAAAATAGTCTAGTGCTAGTTGCCTCCCAATAGCAGGTTAATAAATGTATAAGTGGTTCTTAAATATCTAACATTAAAATAGATGTGTAATTTATGACTTGTGTATATTTTATATAATTATCAAAACAAGTTTAATAACTGTATATTATATATTTATATTTAAATACTTATGGGTGTTAACTAATGTTTTAATATTATGTTTCTACGTCTAAAAAAAAAATGTGTTCAACGATTTAGATGAAACCACTGTTTACTACAGTAATAATTATTAAAGATAAATAGATTATCCATACAACTATTCAACTAATGTTAATCATTAATATATGAACTGTGTAGGACTTTTTTATATAGGTAAATTTAAATCAATATATGTATATATAATGTTGTTATACTTTATTACACTATATTAAATAGATGTTACTGTTAACATAATGTTAAAATTATAACACGGTAATACATTATAGATCAGTGGTTGGTAACCAGAAGCCTGAGCGACTATTCCATACAGCCAATGTTTTTTTTAAATAAAACTAAACATTTTTAATTTATATCCAACACATCCAGCAAATTGTTTTAATTTTTGAATGCGACCTTAGATACTAAAAAGATTGCAGACCCCTGTTATAGAAAAATTACTTTAATTATTTGGTATATTTATTATTAATTAAGTTTTGAGCTACTACTTATTTTTATATAGGAGGTAAATAGTGTGAATATTTTTGGGAGGCAAATTATATATAATTATAAATTACCCAATAAGCAAGGGCAGCCAGGGGAGCTTTTTATTTATTTTGTGATAATAATGGGAGGCGACTAGTGTGATCAAATTACCAAACAGATCCAAAATATATAGTTAGTTTATCATTTCAAATATTTATTTATTTTTTTGTTATATAGAAAGTCAACATATAAATCAGTTTCTAATATCCATCAATTGAAAACCCACAACTCTGATGATGATGAAAACAACACGTACAATGGAAACTCTACACAACAATTGTAACTTAAGTGTCTTGAATAAATTCTCCTTGTATACATAATATACATGTGTATTGTGTGTAAAAAGTTATTTTTTTAACAGTAATAGATTTTGTTTACATTATTTATCAATTTCAATAATTTATTTATTTTCATTATTCAATATAATACATTTTTGATCACAGAATGAAATTATTTGTATTATTATAGTATGATTGAGTTTTTAGTTTTCAATTAATTATTTTTCTTATTGAAATATTATGGGCAACATTTAAAATAAATAAAATTGTTTTGAAAAAATTAACGATTTTGCATAAAAAAATTCTTGTAATAATTTTATATTATATTTTACTAAAAAATATTGTTGATTATTAACATTGTCTGGATATACTGAAATTTAAAGACATATCAATTGTAATTTGCCTGACATATTGGTTGGTAAACAAGTGACGTATAATAATAATATAAATCGACTTACGTATTAGAGTAAAAATATATTTATTATACAAAAATAGTTTTATAATAAAAAAATATAGTATTATAATTCAACGAAATAGTAGAATTGTAGACACTAAGTTATCACAAAATCAATTGTTAATTTCATAAAAATATAAAATATTATTGATATAATGTTATTATGGTACAAAAATACACTGATAAATAATAAGATTCAGAAATCTAGATTTCTATACAACTAATATTAGAAAAAAAAGGCTAGATGTAAAATCATAGTCATTATTTGAGAAAAACATTGTAAATATACTCAAGTAAAAAATAGTATGTCAACAATTAAGTCAAATCAACTGGTCGCAATTGACGTTCACCGTCAGCTAAAAACACAAGCATAGCACGGTAGAGAAGATGGCAGCCTAGTTTACACCGATCACTAGTCAACCATCGTGTTGTGTTATCATAGTATGTACCACGCTTTTCATTAGTAAGTTTGTCTAATCCAATAGCATCAATCATAGCCGCCTCTCGAATATGTGCTTCTTTCAACACTAAATGGTGGAATGCTTGTACACAAACCACCCCCAATTTTTCCTTCCATATGCTCAAAATATATTCCGTCTAAAATGTGATTGTAAAATGCAATAAATAATAATTATATTCAATAAAAATATTTACAATGGTACATACTTTGCGGCATTTATCTTTATTTGTGTTTCCGACCCAAGACTGAAATGCTTCATTCATATGATCATTGGGTCGAGATTTGGTGCCTTTACCAATGTAAAATATTGAGCTAATAAATGTCTGCCATACTTCAATGGGATTATTCATCTGATCAGCTCGGGCAGGCAAATTGTTTGTAATACGTGGATCTAATAACAAATATGTAAATGACGGACCACTCTGGGCGCAAACAATGGCTTCCTCCAGAGAACTCCAACTTTTTATGGTTTTCTTCCATGAATCAGATTTATCGTCAACTAGAACTTTAGTTAACTGGAAACTATATGGACCTTTCGAAAAAAAAAATATACATAAATGTAATATTATCAATATGAAATAACAATTAGAAATATACCAGATGAATTATTAATTTGCTTATCATCATGCTTTAGTTCTGTTTGCCTATGTAATAGTCGGTTTAGTTTTCGTACATAAACTTGTTTTGTACTGGATACTAGTGGTCCTGGAGGATGGCCAAACTCCCTAAGACTTTGACGAACATAATCTGTATCATAATCTTTCGAAATTTCAAATAAACTACTACTGCACTCATCTATGTAAAAACAAAAATCATCATCAAGCATAATATTAAATGTAAAGGATTTAAGTAAGCAACTGACAATAGTGGAAAGCAATAATAATATTTATAATTTATACCTATAGAAGTACTTATGTTTGAAATTTCTAGATTATTTATGGCAACTGATGAACTGGAAATTGAATCGCTAAAAAAAAAATTTTAATAGTATATACAAATCATTACAAACCTAACAAAATCAAATGTACTATAATAAAAATGATTATGAACATTTTGATTAAATAACTAATTTCGTCAAAATTTAAAGTTCAAATTTCCATAAAAAAAAAATTGTCTTATATTTCTGCATTTTTTTTTTTTTTTTTGGCCTTAAGATGGACACATTTTAATTACCTTAGCTATAAAAATTGAAAATATAATAACATTTTGACTAAAAGCCTAATTATCAAATTTTCATGATTTAGACCAATTGGGTTAAAATTTATCATTTGAACTTCAAATAGTTTTGTGAAAAATGTTGATTTTCCCCATTTCTTTGAAAAGTACTGGGAATGTTCACTTTGACCTCTTTAGAGTACCAACTAAATCTAATTTGCTATCAGAAGCCAAGCTCAAAGTTGAAGATTAAAGTAACTTTTACTAGAAAACGTGCATGTACACACAAAATAAAAATACTTTATTATATAACCGATACATTAATGGCTTTGCTCAAACTGTTAGTTCCTAATTCAAACTTTGGTTGTGAAAGAACCCAAATTTTACAATAAATTAAAAAGAATGTATTTTCCTACAAATTCACAGCCCTAATGGCTAATAGTAATTACAGATAATAAATAAAGTACCTCAGTGAGTCATAAATACTTGTCCTTGATACGCTTTTTGTAATATCTTCCAATTCAGTGTCAGTCTTATAAGTATCACTCTTAAGAATTTTCTGTAAAGAATTTGTATCTGGACATGTAAAAAAATCATCAGAACTCAAACAACTAGATAATCCAGATATGTCTGACATCAAGTCAGTATCACTTAAAGACATATTTTCTATCTCGCTGAAAATATTTTTTTTTCCCAATTCAATGTCATCAAGTTCAAAAAATTCCGAATCAGACAGTAAATTATTAGATGGAAAGCTTATGTTTTCAATACTTTCAAATTCATCTGTTACGTATTTAATTGAACTCAATACAGATCCATCATAATAAAGTTTTGATGGAATATCATTAATAGGTAGGTTATAATGACAGTCTGGTGAACCATTTGTATTTAAAGCATCACCAAAAGAGTAAGCTGTTGAAGATAATATTATGCATTCATCGATGTTATTGTTTTTTTGACTAACTGAATCAAATGTTATTGATTTAGAAATGCTATTTAAACTTTCGCCACTATTAAGATATCCACTACTCGTATGTAATCTAACGGATTTATCAATTGCTGATTCAGCGCCAATAGATGTTTCAGTATTCTGTGCTTTTATAGAATTTTGATATTTTTCTTTAATACATTTTGATTGCATTGCATTAGAGACTTGTTTTTTTAAAATACCTAATAAAAAAAATGTTTTTAATAATGATTAAATAATCATGTGATTGTACTCACAAAAACATAAAAATAAAGAAAATTGCAACGTTTCTGAGAGCAAACAATTACAAATAATTTAGACCCCATTTTAATATTAATTGCTGTATACAACAATTAATATTAAAATGTTGTCTCAATTATTTATAAGTTATATATTATAACTGTTTGTTCTAATAAACTTTGCAAAACCCATATTTAGTACTTACTCGTGTAGTTTGAATGTTTCATGTAAGATTGAAGAGTTGCAAGTGATTCCCAAGCACTAAATTTCACAGCATAATTAAATACATTGAGATTGTCTTCATCTTTAATGTATGGATTTGGTATAATGTAAGGACTTTTGAGCAAAATTCCAACAACTTGTGAACGATTCCAGGCAACAGCAATATGCAGAACTGTGCGACTTCCTTCACAACGTACATTAGGATCACCACCGTTATGTAAAAATAATGAAGTCGCTACTTTTCCGAATGCCAAGTTTTCATGACCTGCTGCTAAATGGAATGCTGTCATCCCTTCTTCTGGTATGAGAACATTGGGATTAGCTTTGTTCTGGGATAACAAAGTATTGACTTGCCTAAACAAAAATAATAATTTAAAATTTAAATGATAAATACCATTTTCCAAAGCCCAGAAATGTAACAAATTGAACAGTTAATTTAGTTAGTATGAGCCAAACTGCCAAACTATCGCACAATCAAAGGTCTATGCAATTTGAAGACAGAGAAATTGATGTGACATGGCTTTATTGCATTCACATGTCAGCCAAAGTTAAACTTTTTCGACAGTTTGTCATTATTTTTAACCAAAAACATGTAGTTATGTGACCAAGATACATACTGAATATTACAATCCTCAACAGCATCGTACAGTGCTCGAGCCAGATACAATGTTCTCCATTCATCGTTCATTATGGCATTCGCCATGGTAGACACAGGACGCAGGTTGATTAACTGAATGCCAATTGTTTTTTTCACTTGTTTCCAACCAGATCTAGTCCCCGTACGAATACGATTTCTGTGAAATTTCGTGTTCCGAACATTTGGAATAATATATATAAGTACATATTATGTAATAAATGTACACTTCTGTGATTGAAAATAGCGGCGACCGGTAAAAATTAACGTTTTGTTTTAAACTCAAAGATCAAAGTTTATTTAAATCAGCGTTACAATTAAGCGATAAAGTACTAATACAATAAGTAGGTATGCGATCGTACACGAACACGTCTCGTAACGAGTCTCTTTATCACAGTAAGTTTGTATTTACTATCAAGAGTTATCAAGAGTTGTTGAAGAGTTGCCACGGTGTTATCATAACCATTGGTATGCATAGATAATACATATTATACATTATTAATTATTATTATGTATTATCCGCGAGTGTACGATTATTTCAAACTTATAATATAACGAAATTATTAAATAGTGGGTAGGTAGGTACCTAATGTTAATGTTTTTACATTGTATTAATAGTATTACATAATCTATAACATTTATTTTTGAGATTGATGCCTTGTACCTATGCACCTAGGTGGCTATGTCAATGGTACTTATTATAAAAACCGTTGAGCATTTTTGTCAGTATTGAGCAGAATGAAAACATTTACTTTTCATTTAAGATTGTTGGTTGAGGGCAGTAGTATCACAAATATTTTATCCATAAAAGATATTTGAAACTACCCGTCCACCCATGCATAAAATTAAAATCTACCTATATGTAAATTTTCTTTTGTTAAAAAAAAAATATCTATTGATATTATTGTTTTGATATTAATTAGTATTAAAATAATATGTTATTGTATGTTTTATTACTTGTTTTCTTTTCCAATAATACATAATTATTAATACCTACCCTAGTCTCCAATCCCCATATGCAGCATGCATTTTGAAACCTGTGTGCTGACTCCTAGAGTAAATCAGTAAATAGTAAAATATACTTAAACTTATAGTATACTAATATATTTTACTCTTCATTAAAACCAACATATAAGTACCCTATTATTTATTCAACAATGATAGTTTCAAATAAAAATATTTTTAAGCTGAAACAAAATTATCCACCCATCTAATAATTATTTTAGGGAAATTACTCCTAAAAAAATTAATTTGTGATGCTACTGGTTGAGGAAATACTTTTCCTTTGAGAAGATAACAATTTATCATGACTATACCTGTAGAAAGAATTTTAAAATGCGGAGGGGCTAAATCCAAAATATAAAATAAAATAGTACTCAATAATTAACAACAGTAATACATTTCTATATTGTTTCAATGTTTTGATAGGTTACTACGCCTTTTTTTCGGTGGGGGGCATGACCTACTTCCCTCCGTAGTTACTCCACTAAACCTATTGGCCTACTTATGTCTTGGTTGTATTTTAAAAAAAGGTTTTTTTTTTAAAATATGCCACTAAAATAGTATTTTTCATTAATATTTTCTTTTTTTTATACTACCTATTCCGAGTTGAGGTCCCTCACTAATTATCTATTTACCAAAATAAAATACTGAAGTAGGTACCAGGTACCTACATTGAGCACTGTGCAAGTATTTTAAACATTTTTTTATTAAAATTAATTATTGCATTATTAAAAGAATAAAATAAGTTACCACTTATCAATATAAGTAAAGTGTTAGGTACTATTTAATATTTTCCTACTTGCTATTATATAATTATTTTATTTAGGTATCTAACTTAAGAATCATACAATTGTAGGCATAATATGTAAAAATAACTTTTTTTTTAACTCACAATTTTGTACTGCTGAAGTAAAAGATGTGGATATATGATAGCAGCTATTGAGTAAAAGTCCTATGAAATAATAATAAGTGCAATACTCATAAGACGCCATAAATCATAATAACATAATCCGTAGCAAGTACCTATTTTATAAAGAGCATATTAGGTAGTAGGTAGGGAATTTCAAGGTAGGTATAATGACAAAATAATAAATGCATTGCAAAAACATGTTATAGGTCAAACAAGAAATGTTAAGCTTTCCTATAAACCAAACATTACCCAATAATGTCCCTATTTCAAGACTCACTACTATTAAAGTGCAATTAATTCTTCGTAGTTATAACTACTTAGGTACTAGTTAATTAGGTACTATAATATGTCACTATTATAACCTACTAACCTACCTACTTTATGTTTATGTAAACATGTTGATGATTACAAAAACTCATTTATTTACTAGGTATAACAAAAATTAATAATCACATAGGTATAGAGTTTATATTATAATGGGTTAGATTCACACTTTATAGCTAAACATTTCGTTTACTCTGATTTTAAACCTTTATACTATAATGTACCTACCTAAAATATGAATTTTTAAATTAAAATCAAAAAATTGCACATTTGTTTGCATTAACAAACTGAAGTAGTTACCAAACATTATAATGAGAATGTGAAATGTGAATACATCGGCGTATACTTCGTTGGTAGACCTGGATGTGTATCGATCATATTTTGAGCCGTGCACAATAATCTATCTATAAATAAAATGAATAAACTTAAAGTTAACCAACGATTCTCAAACCCGCCTGGAAAAAATATGCATCTACGTACAGTCAACAACCATATTATAATATGATAAAAATTTAAAATTGGTAGTATAAATATTAATTATTTTTTAGTATTATGATTGAATGTACTTTAAAAAAAATATATTAAAAATTCCCTTAAAAAAAATTGATTTGTACTATACAAATTGTTCTTATAACTTGTCTTGAAATTTTATCTTAGACACGTCTCTGGGTACCTTCAGCAAATCATTTGGTAGGATTGAGGTTTTTAGTGCCCACAGTGTAGTTTTATTATTCTTACTGTACATATAGGTATCGGCAATTAAATTATTTTGTTTAACTTTATTATATGGCTGCATACCATATTATTATAATATTCTTAATTGTAGGTATATTACCACTATTATACCTAGAATATGTAATATGATCTATACTTGGGATCACAAAGTCGTCGTCTTGATTTATTTTTGTATAAATACTAAGAGCGACTACAACGACCATATACTCTATACTACTAGACAAGCATGAAGCAACAAGTGTATGGAAAGCGTAACACATACTACATAGATGACGATTACTCGATTACTTGTACTCGTGGTTGTGCTGGGTAGCAGGGTAAGATGATAGATGATTATAATAATTGGTAGATTATTGTACTTTTTTCGTAAAGACAGCCTACCTACATTACTGCGAGTTGTTGTTAAGCAGTCCGCATGCTGTTGTTATATAGGTTCATAGTTCTTGTCTAGTAAGTAGTAATATAAGGTTCATGGCGATGACCGTCGTATTAATTGTAATATTATAATAATTATTATTTATTATGTAGATTATTATAAACTTGTGATGAGAAAATGGGACACCTGAACAATAACGACGATTGTTGGTCGACCCTTTATGCCTAATAAGGTTTTTGCTAAAAGAAAGAAATTATTAAGTTATAATCTATAGGTATGAACTTTATATTTATAAACTTAACGACTGATAATTTTTATTTTTTAGCATAATATACGATTTTAAAATTAATCATCTCAAATTTAAAGTAATTTAAAGTCGAGCCGTCGCCACTCGCCGGAGTCGTATCTACTAGGTATGCGTTTTTTCCACGTATATTTGCTATATGTTTTGCGTTTCGCTGCGTCGCATACTATAGTATATAGTAAGTGATACTAGAGTATACTAAGCCGTACGTTTTAATAAAGATTGTTCTATAGATATACCTTATTACAAATTGACTAAATTACGGCAATTCTCGACCATTTATAATCCTATATAATTATAATAATGTGTTTATGACCATTAGTATATTTATATTTCATATTAACGTATGCACGTATGCATGATAACACGCAACATGAAAATAAATTATCTTCAAGTTATTCAATAGATAGCTTATAGGCTATATCCTATAGGTAAGGTACCTATTATAGTAAGTACCTAATTAAGATTTCATAAAATATATAATATAAATTATTTCCTACCTTATGAACAATATTTGTCTGGCTACAATGATTTATACTATTAACAAATAACAATATTATAATTTATCGAGTAGACTTACTTATATCCAGTAGTCCACTTGGTAAATATTGACCCGAAAATAACATAATATCCGAAAACTTTATGCGGGGCTGTATTGAAAGAGGAAGCCTTAGTGAAAATCTGAGAGGGTGCACGCTGTTTCAAATTTTTTTAATAGCTTTTTTACTGAAATAGGGAAAAATACATTAGAGAATAACACAAATTTTAAAGATAACGAACTTAAAGATAATAAAAGTGATCTCTCATTTGATGATATTTTTAGTACAAAAATTACAGAATCAGAAATCTCAAATATAATTAAAAATTTAAAAGATGAAACAGCTGCTGGAATTGATACAGTAACGGTAAAACTAATTAAGTACATTGAATCAATTATTATAGGACCACTAACTTATTTATATAACTTAAGTATTGAAAAATATATTTTTCCTGATAATTTCAAAATTGCAGTAGTAACTCCTTTATACAAAGGTGGTGATCACAAATACGTAAATAATTATAGGCCGATATCAATGTTAAATAACTTTTCAAAAATTCTTGAAAAAATAATCAAAAATCGACTCATTAATTACTTAGAAAAATATAAACTACTGTCTAAAAATCAATATGGTTTTAGACCTGGCTTAGGGACAGTAAATGCACTTTAAAACGCCACGAGTCACGTATATAATGCCCTTGATCATGGTAAAAAAACATTAGCTGTTTTCTTAGACCTAGCAAAGGCATTTGACATGGTTAATCAAGAAGAACTAATAAAGACTCTACCTAGTTTTGGCATAAAAACAACTAGTTTAAATTGGTTTAGAAATTATCTAAAAGATAGGCAACAAATAGTTAAAATAAACAAAACATTGGGTCAAAAAAGGAAAATCATATGTGGAGTCCCACAAGGTAGTGTTCTTGGTCCTTTATTTTTTATTTTATATATTAACTGTATATGTAATATAAATATAGATGGTAAAGTTGTAACATATGCGGATGACACCTGTCTACTCTTCACAGATAGCTCGTGGCATTCTGTACAACTTAAAGCAATATCTGAGCTCAAAAAAGTAGTAAATCTTTTTAACTCAAAGAAATTATCTTTGAATATAAAAAAAACCTATTTTATGGCTTTCAGTATTTACAATTCGGTTATTCCTTTTCAGGAACTAACAGTACATTGATGTAAAAATATCG